CCCAAAGTTTATTTATACAAACCTAGAAACGTTCAGATGTTTGTTCTTGGAAAATGTTCATTTCTTCACTAAGCCAGGCAGTTAAAACAGAATAGTCTGACCGAGCGATTTTGCGCCTATTGAAATGTACTTCAGGGCAACTTTTGCGTTGTTATTCGTAGAAAACTGCATAACTTGACCAAGTCATATTAAATTTTTGCGAGGTTCGCAGTATTTTCATATTTGAGCAAAACTAGTTTATAAATAATCATAAATTACTTGGCTTCTCATATTTCATTTTCCCATTTTTTATGATCACTAATTTAAGTGTAGGACTCCTTCGAATAAGTTGATTATAATAGAAATGTCTAGTTTCCACTTAATGATGATTGCTCTGATTGAAGCTTTTCTTATTAGATTATGTCAGAACGAATGGATTTTAAATATAAGTTGAATCCCTGCTCTTAGTTTGGGTAGTAGTATAAACCAAATATAGGACATACCTACCCAATCCTAACAAGAGATAATCTCAGTTGGGCTGGGAAGCTGGATTCAGATGGATCACTAATGACTAGAGTATTTGTTGGGGGACTTTCATTTCGTATGAAAGTGCATGAAGAAGAGATTCGTTGGTCGATCTCACCAGATAAGGACGGATAAATCTCGTTGTACTGCAGCCGTTTGGCTTTTATGCAATATTCATTTTGACGCAGTCCACGAGATTTCCTCCTTCGTTTTGGGTGAAAACGGACTGAGCCATCGTCCATCAAATGATGGAAACAATCAAAGCTGGGTGTCATTCTTGTAAGTCTCACGTTAACACTAGACCAAGAACACTATCCGGCTTTATCTTACCTCTTATATAGACTCAATTGAGCCAAAAAGAAATTAAAAACCTAGATAGATCGATATAGGATGCTTTGGTTAATTATATTTCATACTGATTTTATTACTTTTGCTCGAGTGTGAGCATGTGTGTGTATGAGAGAGCGTCTATATGCAATACGGTTCCTAAATCAGAGTTGTACAGGTTTAATCTCAGGTTCTGATCTTTAAGGCCTAATGACGCAAGAGAAAGCCTTGACAGAGACTGCGTAAGTCCTTAAACAAGTATGCTTGAGATAATGAGATATGAGCTTGTATGTATGAAAGTCGAGTTACGAAACCTCTCAGTCTATAGTCATTAATGTTTAATCCCCAAGGAAAGGTAAGACTGGGGCTGCATAATTTTGCAACTTTAGTTTGTTTGATGAGTTTACTCTGAAATGTTGGATGGGTGTGAGTGAAGTTGGAACAATCAACGAGCAGAAAAATTGAGTCGCTTTCTTTTTGACGGCGGCTCAACACCCTCTCTCTCCTTCAATCTATCAATCAAGCATAAGTATTTCCTACTCAACATTTTGTGTGTGTTGTAACCTTTTAAGTTTAGTAAGTGCTAGCCCGAAGCACATTCATTACACCGTTGATGTGCTCAAAAATATTTATTGCCGACAGATTATAGTGAGTTCTCTACTAGCCACTTGCCCTAAATGTGCTAGTTATACCACAGTTGCAGACTTATTTTCATTTGGGATAGTGAGCAAAGGAATTTCAGAGTAGCATCGACGATCGGGTTAGCAAACATGGGGGCTTGCCAACAATATTCCTACAAAAAAGGTCCATAAATCCCCTCCATTACCGTCAGTCACTAAATTAAAATCTCGAAAATGAACTGAATAGCTTGCACAAATGTTTTTTCTCTCTTCGTATCAAATTGCCGTTTCCTTAATAAGCATATTATACAAGATTAGCACAAATATTTTAATAGACCGAAGTTGTATTTACAAAGAAGAATTGCTTCTGGAAATTTCGATTTTGGCAGTTGTGCTGAATGTAAAGGCTTCCTTTGGCGGTATGAAAGAAGAATACGACGAACACGACGTATCGTTGAGGTCCAATCCTAGCTCACTTTGAATCGGATTGAGAGGTTTCTGCAACATAGTACCATCTCTACTGGTAACAGGGCGCTTCGTAACTGGGAGCTCCAATCCATCACATGTATCCTTAGCCGCGTGGATGGAGGAATCAAGAGGTGTCTGTGATGAAGAAGAGCAAGTTTTTCCAGAGAAGGATGAATCATACGGTAGCCTTTCTGAGACCACATCACTAAAGACATTACATAATACTTCAGAACCAGCAAGAATGAGCTGGTTTAGTAGCTTATTTTTCACTATGTTCCCCTCCAAAAGATTCTCAGCGTGGCCGAATGATGACTCGTTTGTCTCATATTTGTCTTGTCTCACCTGGTTTACTGCCTTTGACTCCAATTCCTGTCGCTTGGCCCACACTGCATCAAACCTGACGTCGAGCGAAAGCAATTCATCATCATCCTCTTGTTCCTCATCTTCTTCGACCCCTAAGTTCAACAAAGCAAGTTCGTTTCCGACCAAGTCAAAGCGTTCACTATTCTGGAGCATGCAATCCGTGAACTGGCCGTAAAGAGCCGGCCCGGATAGGTCCCGATTGACCAAAATCATGGCTTCATTGTTTACGGAGTCTTCTATCCGGTTCCTGTGGCCAGAAGCCTGCAAGTTCTGCGGATGACAGTTGCATACGAGACCGCCACTCGGCTCACCAGCTTCGATAACAGACGGGACTCGGTCTCCAGCAGGCCAATCACTAATTGTCCGACGCACAGCTCTTTGATCCTCACTTGGCACCGAGTCTGCGGACAGTTTGCCCGTGGCATCCTGACGACCTTTGGCGTGGACATTTGACGGACCAAATACCTTTTTTACTCGAAAGTCTAAGTGGGCAGTACGTGCGTAAACTAGCAGACGATGGAGCCATGAGGCGAGGAAGAGAGCAGCCAACAGAAAGCCGGTGTGAGTCAAGTAAATAGGCAATTTGCGTGAATCAGAGACCACTGTAAGCTGGCTCGGGAGCATGGGCGTGTGAAGAAGCTCCATACCTGAGAGTGTAAAAAGAGACATTTTTTGTAGTAATTATAAAACTATTTTCTCGGTCTTGATATGAAAATACAATGCAGAGAAGTGATATTGATAGTGGGTTGCTCGTACCAAACAGTGTTTGCACTACTCTATATTTTGACTCTGATACCAAATACTCCTCCTCCAGGTTGAACTGCATTTTCGGGTATTGAATCTGGTTAGTGTTGTGTATAATTTCAATGTGTTACTGCCACGCAATGGGATAGCACAAATGCCTGGCTTGCCTTAAAATGCACGTTCGCCACATCAGACACTGACACACGTAGCAGTGGGGTATAGTTGAAAATAAAGCGCTGCACTACCTGCATATAATTTCCGTTAGTGTTTATGAGGCTGAAACTGTAGTCCAGTCCAGACAAGAAGACCCTCTGGGAAGTACCGTATTTCCC